CCCAATACATTTTTTTCGAAAAGTCATCGAGTAAATAATAATGTTTCACTGTGCGATACATCTAATAAACAAACTAATATGGAATTAGCTACTACCACAGTGCCCAAGTTTTACACATATTCAAAGAATGTCATTTAACAAAATACTACTACCGTATTTGTAGATCTGTTATAATCAAGCGTCATGACGCCATAACGAAAAGTTATTTGTGAATAAAAACAGATTTCTCCACTTATCTGCTTTTGTGAAAACAAACAGTATGATCACATTTTGTAACCAGTGTTGCGCTTAGCTTAGCAGGATTACATTACCGTACAGCACAGCGATAGGACGTGTTAATCTTAGAAATAAACGTAAGTACAGCGGGCATAAGTGTGAGGTAGTAAATTACCTAATAAGTGAGAGAAGACTAAATAATTTGCACAACGGTATCTGATGTGATGTTAAGTTGTTGCATTACCATAGTGCGAACACTGTAAATAAAGAAAAAACAAACAGCGAGCACCAATCACCACCACCACTACCGGGAGGAATCTAAAAGAAGTCATCCGCCTCACTAAGCAGCTTCTTTTCAACTACAAGACGGCGCAAATAACGATGTTAAAGTAAGGATTTGAAGAGGAAGACAGAAATCCCTTCCTCTGAAATCAGAATAGAGATAGATCTACAGAACTCAACAGATGGAAGAAGACCTGAATTTTCAACATCAATGCCAAGTCAACGGCTTGATAAACTTGGTGTGCGCGCCTCAAAAAAAGAAACCCTCGCCAACAGGCTACAAACTTTTATCAGTAACTGCCTCCAGTCAATATTCAAGATCAGATGAGTAGAAACGATGAACACTAAGAAACTCTGGTAAAGAATCAACCAAGAAACTATTGCCTAACAAATGTGTTGACAGAAATGGAAATTTTGACTGCATATAAGCTAAAGAAACCGCTAATTGATATCACACATTAGGCCTTCGAATGGAAACTGAGCAGGGAGCGACAAGAGTTCCCCAGGAAAATATGGAGGAGATTATATGAAGTCGAAATGGGCGCTAACAGGCGACGATAGAACCAGTTTAAAAAGACAAAAGAGAACAAAGTGAAGTGGAGATGTGTTGCTGAAGCTTTATGCCCCAATCAGAATCCAACAGGTGAATAACAAACAAAGAAAAGACGGCAATAATATCGGAAACTACAGAGTAACTATGAAAGAGAAAATAAAATTTTCAGAATAATCCCAGATGAAAGAGTACTAACTGCGAGCTCATTCTCAAACAAATATAAATCTATTATTACCACGGCCAAATACTGAGTTTTCTTTATATTCATTTGCGTTTCCATTGGAACAAAAGGCTACAAGCTTTGTTTGAGCTTTGAAATTTCAGTCGCAGTGGTGTTTTTTTTACAAGATGGAGTCGCTAGCCTGGCGCACAACCTTATCTCTTTGCCGAACTTGCTACCGACTAAGTTGGTTTTAGCAGTGCGTCAGCCGGTAATCGAACTCCGAACCACGTGCATAGTTGGTGAGCATTCTGCTGTCGAACCACCAACGTACAACTGTGGAATAATCTTTCACAATAGATGACTAGAGATATCTAACATTTTAGGCTTTTACTCTGTGACCAACTAACCTTTTTTATTCTATATTGTTCCCAGTGGAACATAGGCGGCTTCAAGCTAGAGGCTTAAAGTTTCTGTAGCAGTGGTATTTATTTTTTTACGGGATGGGGTTGCTAGCCTCATACCCAACCTTCCCTCTTTGCCAGTCCTATTACTGACCTAACGAGGTAAGGGAGTGAGTCGGCTGAGGATCGAACCCCTGACCACCTGCATGACTGGCGAGCATTCTACCGCTGTGTCACCGACGAACTGGTTTTTTACGTTGGATGAATTTACTGTTCTAGATGGAAATATGTATCGTAGTGTGAATTGATCAAACCTATTCATTAATACACAATCGATTTCCAGAAGCATATTTATTAGGACGCAAAGTATGTCACTTTGCATTTTAATCTTAAAGACTTAGTCAGTGAGACTTTTTAGGTAAAATGAATAGCATTATTCATATAAGTATAAAACTTGGGCAGTATGGTAGAGTATCACTCCATTATAGAAGATAAGATTTTATTTTGATGAAATCACACAGTGTTTCATACAGTAATATTAACTGATGACCACGTTTCGAGCACAAACTATTGCCACTTATAATCATATCAAGTCACTACTCACACAACTTTTTCCCTTCATTTATATACATGTGTGAAATCGATGATTAGACATTTGAATAAAAATCAATACAGGATAATGTACATTCATATGGGAAATAAGATGCTCTTATAGTAAAATAAATAAATAACTTGTTAGAATGTTATAATGTAAGTGGATTGAAATAGAACTTTAAGATTATTTATTATCCTTCTCTGATTTGGCTGGTGGTAATAATATTCTCTATATTTCTGGTATTTGCATTGATTCATTTCTGTTGCATATGTTGGGTGAAGACCCGATGAACCAGGCAGAATTCAGTGGTCAATCTCTCTTCACAATCACACAATAGGGTGGGACAGAGTCAAAATTCCAAAAAGTAATATAAGTAGGTGGAGAAAGAGATTGACCACTGAATTCTGCCTGGTTCATCAGGTCTTCACCCAACATATGCAACAGAAATGAATCAATGCAAATACCAGAAATATAGAGAATATTATTACCACCAGCCAAATCAGAGAAGGATAATAAATAATCTTAAAGTTCTATTTCAATCCACTTACATTATAACATTCTAACAAGTTATTTATTTATTTTACTATAAGAGCATCTTATTTCCCATATGAATGTACATTATCCTGTATTGATTTTTATTCAAATGTCTAATCATCGATTTCACACATGTATATAAATGAAGGGAAAAAGTTGTGTGAGTAGTGACTTGATATGATTATAAGTGGCAATAGTTTGTGCTCGAAACGTGGTCATCAGTTAATATTACTGTATGAAACACTGTGTGATTTCATCAAAATAAAATCTTATCTTCTATAATGGAGAAAATGAACAGCAATCACTTGATATTGCATATACCAGCTTGAATTTTACGACGGTAGTTGACGACAAAAATTTTTTTTAACTTTGCAATGACAAAAAGTTATTCAACAGCAAGGAAATTAATCCCACATACATTCCTCATCTGCCTGAAACTATGAAGCATAAAAAACTATTATCTGCTAACAAAGCCTTCATTTAACAACAACTATAGCCGAAAACTCCGTTCAAGTTGCCATGCAATCACAGCATAGATGTAACTTATTGCTCTTAATCACATGAAGGTGTCCATATATCATTCAGATTTTGTTTATGTAATTCCACTCCTTACTTCCCCTTGGTTCCATTATTAGCAATATTTTCTATATTTATAGTGTTGATACTGCACCATTCCTACCGCAATTTGTGGTGTAGATTAGATGGACAAGGACTCACTAGTCAACTTCTCCTTCCACCTAACTACAATACCTTCAAAGACTGAAGTTGTTTCTCACCATGTATGATTGTGTTTGAATGAGTTCGTTGAATTTAATGGATTTCTCCCTAAGTTAGTCTATTTTCATGGTCAATCATTCACAACCAGCTAAATTTACACTGAAATGACCTATGAAGCTGATCTCATAGTCATTGCAACATATTTTACACACTGGGTGATTTTAACTTATCGGGTCAACAGGTTAACAAATGAACAGCAAAACAAAAAAGAAAGTATAAATACAGGTGAGTTTACTCATCAACAGCATTCGAAGGAATACTCGGGTGTTAGGAAAATTACTGCTACCAATTAATATCAGCTAAGGTCAAGCTTCAGAAAATAATATTAAACTAAACCTTTACAAGTGCATATTTTCGATATCTAACGATATTCGACTGCTGAATACCAACTCCACATAAACTATGAAGGCTTAAGCAAAAAGTGGTAGCGTTAATTTACACATAATAGGCGTGAATTAGTTTTGTTTATAGTCGCCAACGTTTACACTCCTGGAACTTAGTTATACTTAAGAACTACTATCGGAGTCAGTCAGGAAAAGCTTCCAGCTCTTTATTCTGGATTTATAGTTTATGATCACTTACAGGTGCCTGGCATTTGATATTAACTTTCAAGTTACACGTTCAATATTTAGTCTCTATATGCTGCACATATACCGATGACCAATTATTAAGCAGCAGATCAATAAATACAGAGCTTCTTGATTTTGCAAACGTTCAAAGGGTTATTGAGACTAATCTATTTCTTTATACTGCTTTTTTGAAGTTACTTACGCTTCCGATATCCGAGGTGTGAAGCGAACGATGAAAGTTTGTAGACGAAGTATGGAGAAATTATAAGGAGCAAAGCCAAGCTCGTGGAGCAGTGAATAGTGGTAACAACAGAAAGTACTGCGTCAGAAGGAAAGAAGCCTTAACCAAGGCTTATTTACATTGTAATTAACTTGAAAGAAAGACCGTATTGTACCAAGATGATGATTTACGCCTTCCATGACAGGCAATGTTTCTTGCTTACACCTAGACACATACAATTCATGGCATACAGAGAAAGCGTCTACCCCACTAGGTATGAATATGACTTCTGTCACTTCCTTCATTTAGTTTAATAAGCATACTAGTGAGAATTAAGACAGCGAAACGGTTATTCTCACTGTTCAACTAGTTTTGCCAGAAATTAGTAGCGACGACGTCAGAAAAGTGCTTACACAGGAAAATATAGTGAATTGTACGGGTTCAGTTAGCAACACTAAGACCTCAAGATTAAGAAGACGTACATCCTGACAATACAATGAACGGAAAACGTAGCATTCTCAGGGAGAGCAATACTTAAGACGACCGTAAACTTACATAAAATGATTTTGTCTCGTATAAGCACAACTTAGAAGCACTAAACTATATATTTAAGTAAAAATTTGGATAACTGTGGTGTTTTGTTAGCAAATAAGTTGTATACCACGATTATTTAAACAAATAAAAACAAACCTTGTGGTCCACCATTCGAATAATTGCTATAAACGACCTTGAATCGCGAGATAATATTGATACTTCAAAACCTCATGATATTGAAATGCTGATTAGGTGCGGTAGCAAGTCCTTGTTGATTCTATTGAACAGTAAGAAAGGGACAAGTAATACTTCCAATTAAGTACCCTTTCTTCGGCTGCCCTCTCAGTGGATGTGAAGTAATGTGCCCGTTATTCTTGTGGCTTCTTCATTCGGTATCCAGTGATGACCTTCACCATGTAGTTGGAATGGGTAAGATTAAGGTACAACTCAGATTACACGTGCAATCTCCAATATCCAATATCCTGATTACGAGCTAGTATAAACCAGTGATTTCTTTGAGCTCGCTTCTTGATTGTGAGGTAGATGTTCCAGATCTTCGGTGAGCTTCTGCGTAGTAAGTCCCGCCACTCGACTGCTTTAGCTCTGGTAGACTCCAAGAGGAGTGGTGCGGGGATTGGTCAAGATGTGGTTTGTAGTATGCAGTATGTTAGGGCTGTGTTACTGCCGTGAACGGAGTTTGACCTAACTCCTGTTGGTCGTTCCGTGTAGTCATAAAAGCAGAATAGTAGTAATAATAATAATAGGTTGTAGTGTAGATATTATGGGTTGAGATAAGTGAAATAATAAAGGTGACCTAAGGAAAAGATAAAGTAGTCGGTACAGTGAGAGAAGGCAGAACAGGTCGTGGGGATTTAGTTTGTATGCTTACCCATTGACAGTGTGATTTTAAGTTTTATGAGGATAAGCCATTGAGACACAAACCTTGCATTTCTGCATGATTGTCTAGCTTCCGCTTAAAAATCTCCAGAGATGGCGCTGTAGTCACGGCCGCCGGTAAAGCGTTCCAGAGACGGCAAACACGAAGCGAAAAGAAATGTGATCGCACTCGAGTCTTTGGTCTCTGGTGTGCTATCCTTAGCGGGTTACCTCGTGGAAGCCTATAATCACTTAATGGCAGGATGCTTTTATTTGGGTGGGCCTGGTCATTTTAGATCTGGTAGACGGTGATGAGGTCTCCCCTGTGCCTACGGTAACTAAGTGTGAAAAGACCTAATTTCTTTAGTCGTTCCTCATATGATTTGTTGCGGAGGCCGATCACCCATTTTGTCGCTCGTCTCTGGACACTTTCTAGAATGTTAGCATCCCTTTTGAGTAGCGGAGGTGCAATGATATTATGCACCTCAAGGTGTGGCCTCACATATGTCTTATATAACCTTAAGAACAGTTCGGGAGTGAGAGCTCCCAGCTGCCTATGCATAAAGTGTAAAGTTGCGTAGGCTTTGGCGACGTCCCTCGCGTAATTTCCACTGGTGTCTAGCTTTTCTGTTAGAATAAGACCTAGATCGCGCTCTGATGGAACACAACTCAAGTTCTGGCCACCAAGGGTGTAATTTACACTCTGTGACCTGCCGGAATGAAGTTGCACTACTTTGCACTTCTTTAGGTTGAAAGGCATTCCGTTAGCCAGAGCCCAGTTTCCCAGAGTTTGCAGGTCAGCCTGCAATCTATCTGAGTCTTCCGATGAGTTTATTGCTCTCCAAATCTTTACGTCGTCAGCGTAAAGAAGCGCAGAGCAGTTTAGTTGGGAGGGTAGGTCGTTGATAAAAATCAAAAACATCAACGGCCCTAGGATAGAACCCTGAGGAAACCCTGATGCCGAGGTGTGCCAGGATGATCGGATGCGGTTGACTTTGGTGCAGAATTCTCTCTCGCCTAAGTAATCTTTCAGCCATGCGAGAAGTGCTCCAGAAACACCCGCCTTGCTTATTTTGTGAAGGAGCAGACCATGGTGAACTGTGTCGAATGCTTTCGCAAAGTCGAGAAAGATCACGTGGGCTGGTACCTTTTTGTCCCAGGATAGTGTCCAATCGTTCCAAGCTAGTAGAAGATTCGTCACGCAGGATCTTCCCCTCCTGAAACCGTGCTGTGCTTCGTGAAGAAGGTTAGTCCCATCGAAGTATTTTCTCATGTGGTCGTCAATGAGACTTTCCAATATTTTCGATATCACTGGAAGTAGAGCAACTGGTCTGTAACTGGTCGCATTCTGCCGGTCACCACCCTTGAAGATAGGGGATAGGATTGCTCGTTTCCATTCACATGGAAATTTCCCTACATCAAGGGAGTGTTGGAACAGATCACTTAGGGGTTGGCAGAGACCTTCTGAACACTGCTTGAGGACAGATGGTCTGATGTCGTCACAACCTGAAGACTTTCCCGAAGCCAACTTTCCCAATTTTACAAGTACCATACCCGGGGTAATTTGAAATGTACCCACCAGGTTTTCGCGCGTTGGTTTCGCAATGTAATCTTGATGTTCTGTGGGGGTAATATCCTCGTTGCTGTTTAGTGCGTCGGTGGCACAGTGGTTGGGACTCTCGCCGACCATGCACATGGTCCGGGGTTCGAGCCCACGCCGACGCACACTTGATATCTATGGTCGGCCTGCGAATTTTGGGCTACCGATATCCATGTTGAAAATTCCGCACTTGTACCAAAATACGGTGTGGAATCAAGCTGTAATCAAAAAAATAAAAAAAATAGTTGCCTGTGAAAGGCTAGGCTGAATGTCTCCGCCATTTCAAGACTAGTAAGAGATTTCCCATCAAAACCCACTAGATTGCATGCTCCCTGGTTGGTCGGTTTTCTTTCGGACATAAACCTGTAGAGGCTTTTGGGGTTCACGAGAAGCTTATTGGCGAGGTCTCCCTGAAATGTCCTTCTATCGCTCCGGACTCGTATGTTACATCGATTCCTGAGTTCAAGGTACACTTCATGTTCCGGTTGACTCTTCGATCATCGCCACGCAAACCAGGCTTTTCGCTTCGCCTGCAGAAGGCGTCGTGTCCCCCTTGTTAGCCATGATCGTTGCTTCCTAGCTTTTGGTGTGACTAAAGGAACAGTGTCTGAGACTGCCTGGTGAATGATCTCCTTTACCACTCTCCAGTGTTCTTCTACTGTTAGCTCTGTCCATTTTTTAGTCCAATTTGCTTCAGACAGAAGTCTTCGCATTTTGGTGTAATTGGCTTTGTTATAACACTGATAGGGCTGTGTATTGTCCCACTGTAAGCGCTCGCGAAGGACTATGTCGAATACTATGACCGCGTGGTCACTACTACCTATGGGAGTCGTGATCTGAACGTTTTCCACTAGTAGCTGGTCACTAGTGAGCACGTAATTCAGTCTAGAAGACTTCCCATCAGGGCCCCATCTAGTATCCATCTTGACATTTTCAGTGAATCCAGCCTTCCTGATAGTATGTAGCAGATTTTGATCAAATCTATCACGGGCTTTCCCCGACATCAAGTTAAGAGATGGGGCATTGAAGTCACCAGCTGTGACAATTTGATCATAACCCACGTCTTGAGTCGCGGAAATTGTATTTAGTAGTATCTGGTTGTGGTCTGCTCCACATAAAAGTGATTGATAAATGCTACCCACTAGATATTTGCAGTACCCAACGGTGAAGTGGCACCATATGGAGTCAGGGAGCTCTGTGAGGGGAGGGTCCATCGCATGAACACATCTCAGCTGTTAGTCGACGTATATGGCGACTCCACCTCCTTCTTTCAGTTCCCTATCTCGCCTGACTAGGACCAAATCATTTATACTTTGACTTCAAGCTTTATTTTTCCCATATATCTGCATTACATTCATGTGATGTCTGGGTTTTTTGTTAATGCGAAGACAATATTTCTATATCTCTTTATGTGCTACACAAACAGACTTTATAGCAGACTGTTCCGACTGACTCTAATGTCAGAAAGAACAACCAAACTGTAAGTCCATTATACATCAAAATATGTGTAATTTATATAATAACTTATCCATGCCTGTACAATTGGTATGTTCCTGCATAAACAGGAAGGAATATATTATTATTATTAAAACAATATTTATGCATGCCTATACAATTGGTGTACCCTACATAGCTAGGGAAAAAAATGTACTTTATTATATTATCTTTACTAAATATGATTATTAATATTATGTGTAAATTATCGAATTGATGATGCCTGTAAACTGACGTCCCTCATATAAAAACTGAGAATATATATTATTATTATTATACTGACTTAGCTGTCTGCCACCATAAGGGTTAGCCAAGTTTCCGCCAGTATTATGATTTTGGAGTTCATTTGTGATTGTAGGTGTCTAAGTTCAGCTATTTTGCCTCTTAGCCCTCTCACATTACTGTACAGCCAACTGGTAGTCAGTCTCACCACTTCCCCGTATTGGGGGGTAGTTGACTTGATATTGGCTATCGATTGAGGAGTTATCCTACGAACTAGTTGGCCGATTCCCCAGGAACCGGCCTGTTGGCGTTTTTTTCTTCTAGTTCAGTCGGAGAACTCGGATGACACTGGCTATCAGCGTCCGTGCTGCACCGCTGTAGTGTGACTAGGGGTTGAAAATTTTTTTAACTACGCTTTGTCCTCTCCTTTGGGTGCGAGGCCGGCTCTCGCAGCAGCAAATGTGTTTGCTGACCTTGTTCTTGGTCTCGTACCATCTATGGAGAGCGGTAGTCAACTGGTCTTGGGAGCTGAACTTGACAGCTAACAGACGTGGCGTGTTAATTGACATAAGATGAGTGGGTCGAGGCAGTTTATAAATAGAGACAGCCCCTGAACTCCCAGGGCCATCTGGGATGCCAACCATCTCCATTGCTGTACATCATGACAATGCTTTTCGCAGACGTTCCCAGTTACCAGTTCGGGAATGCCATGCACAACCATGGAGGCAGAAGGAATAAGCTCTGGCGGCTCCCTCGCCATTTGTCTTTCCTTCCACGGCCCGTCTGGCTTAACACGTATGTTGCAGGCCCTCCCTATAGAAGGGACTTGAGAAGCCAGTAACACTTTTTCAACATCCTCGGTAGAGCCGAATGTTACCCTCAGTGGGGATGGTTTGCCTTCAGGTGCAGCAGTGCCCCTATACAATCTGCATAGATTTACTGGTGGGATGTCCGAACCCAGTGTGCTACACAAGATGGA